TTGATATTTTGAAATGTAAACGAGCGTCTCTTGTCTGAAAGCAAATTTTTATACCAGGAGAAGCTTCTTTCAACGTCTACTGATGTTATTGGTGCGTACTTGAAAAGGACGGTCACACTTACTGACAATTCTTCTTCAATTTGAAAAGATGTTGCTTCACCTGTTAATATCCTAGAAATTTTCTTCGTTGTTTGGAAGTCAGTGTAACAATAAAAAATTATAAAAAATAATGAAAATTAGAAAAATTTAACAAAAAATTTAAAAAATGCTTTAAAATGCAAAATGCGTCCCAAAATTTTAAAGAAAATGCCCTATAAATCTCAAAAAATGCTCTAAGGGACATAGAATGTCTAAAAATGCAAATGTCATCAAAATCCTGGCCTTACTCATCACACTAAAGTTACCAATTCATCGTTGCTACAGCTGCGACTGATTTGGGTTGTTCGCATACCGTGGTTCCGATTAATTGTCGTGTTTTAAACTGTATATATTTGAGATTAAATTAATGTTGTGATAATTTAGGGGAAAGGGGTAAGCCAGTATCTCCTCTGGAAGAACGCTGTAATAGGGGTTTATTTGGCGTTGCCGTTCATAAGATCAATGTTTAGCAATAAGTTGAAGTCACTATTGCAATCGCATTCATTGCAATCTTAAAAACATATTGTTTTTACTAAAAATTAAGGAATCAAAGACTGGTGACTCATTTATTTCATTGTTAAAATTTAGTTTTTTGTTTTCATCAATTTAAAACGCATTGTTTTTTTTTCAATTTTAAAAAAAAAATCTCTCCTTTTCAGCTGGTTCAGCTTTCTTACGTCCGTGGGAATCTGTTGTTGTTGGAGCTTTCTGCGCACTTATAGTCAACGAAGCAGCTCCATTTCTCGATAAGATGAACATAGATGATCCAGTGGGAGCAGTCGCTGTACACGGAGTCGGTGGATTTTTAGGAATGGCTGCTGTTGGACTGTTTGTGGAAGCGGATCCCTTACTGAACATGACGAAAGGTTTAAATGGTTTGTTCAAAGGGGGTGGATTTTATTTCTTGTTGGTGCAACTTTTCTCGTGTCTTTGTACAGCAGCATGGAGCATGTCTACGACTTTTCTTATCTTGAAAGTAAGTAAAAAAATCTCTCTAAGGGTTAAAACTGCAAGCCAAACTATATCTTTAACAGGGAGGGAGATAGATTTATTTAATTCATCATTACGTAGCTCAAAATAAAAAATACATTGTTAGATGTGTTAGATTTAAAGTGAGAGCATAAATATATCTTTCAAAGTAGGCACATTTTAGCTACCACATCTTGATTCTGTACAAATGCATGTATGACTCGCCCGTCTCGAAAAAGTTAAGTTTAACGTCACATAATTGAAAAAAAAGCTTGTAAAATTACATCATTCCTGAAGCTAAGAACTTCATCTTGCAAAGATAGGCGAACACTTACTGACTGGCGCATCAATCGAATGATTCTCTGCTTGCCTTGGAGTTGTCTTCACCGGACAATCATTTATAACCGTCGTTGAACAGCCGACCCAATTTCTGGTTTAGGACTAATAATGTTCAACTCCGTAAACTTATAATTTTGAACCCAATCCGGAAGACAAGGAAACTCCTGGATCAAGTATTAGAAGAAATTTTGCCTTTGTGGAGGACTTTTTGATGGAACTAACCCGCATTTTCGTTACATGGTGAGGAGAACCACGAAAACCTCCCACGATTAGCCTAACGGCAAGGGGACTCTAATCCATGATCTGTCTATCATTGATGATAATTTACGTCAGTATTCGTAGTAAAACGATCGCATGTTACACATTGGCACAATGGTTGTCAAATTTTTTTTTGGAAAAGAAACTTTCTTGAGTTTTCATCTTGGACATCTTTAACTGTTAATCCTGAACTGCTCGGTACACAATTTCGCAGACATATTTAAATGCAGCTCAGACACGTTCTGTGTACATTCTTTTAATGACTTAATAGACATTGAACAGCCAATCGAGATCA